GAGAAAAAGAAATTTTTTGAAGCATTCGTTTGTGGTCCACGGACGAATCAACCCTGTCGGTGGCAATTAAGTTTTCTTTTTATTTCGTGTCTGAGTGGCGAATACATTCTTGGTATAGAAGTGAAGGTTTGTAGGGTGAGTAGGCTCAAAAGTCAAACTTCATTTAGTATGTTTATTTAGTAATCCAAATATTTCGGACGCACTTTGCTGTCCTTCCTCAGTGGGACAACTGGGAAAAGGTTAACGATTAGCAAAATAAAATTAAACAAAAAGACAGGCAGATTTGTGTGCACTATGCTATGTATTTAATTTTAGATCAAATTGATATGTTACCAGAAATTTTAATGTGTCTTCTTTAAAATAATTTTTGATGTACCTAATTGTTCACCAAGAAATGAAGGCGACCACCATTTTGTTAACGACGTGTTTAGTGCACACAATTGTAAGCCTGTAATTTAATTTTATTTTGCTAATCGTTAACCTTTTCCCAGTGGTCCCACTGAGGAAGGACAGCAAAGTGCGTCCGAAATATTTGCATTACCAAATAAAAATACTAAATGAAGTCTGACTTTTGAGCCTACTCAGCCTACAAACCTTCACTTCAACACCACCCAAGGCCGAAAGAACAAAAACCTTTTAATTCTTGGTATAGTTGCGAGTAACAATGTAATTCCCTAGGTAATTCCTGTCGAATCGACTAAATTAACTACGGTTCAAGTATACAGTTTCTTATATTGCTTCAGTAATTCAGTAAGAAGAGCTAGTGAAATCCTTTGTGGGAAGCTAATCCATAAAAAAGACAATTATCCTGCTTTCGGTCGCAAGAAAAGTATTAATCTAAGAGCCAGTGAAAAGCAGACCCAACATATTTCAGTAAACCCTCAATTTTGTTCAAAGACTCTCTTATACTTACTGTTCATGAGTGGGGGACTAACTTAGCCAGATCGAGGTAGGTTGAGTGGCGCTCGGGTGAAACAGGCATAAAAATTACACCATATTTGAAAGTATTTTAGTAAAACTGCCATTGACATACTTTAAATTATATCATTTCTTTTATTGGAAAATCACGATGGCAGATAGTTATGGTGGTTGTGACGTCACGGCAGTCGCTTCTCAAAATTGAAAAAAAAATTAGTTTTAAAAATATTTCAGTAAATCTGAAATTTAAATATGTTATTCTTTTAACAGTATTTCTAGCTTACATTTATCATGGCAGACATTTTCATCGGTTATAACAATCTGGCAGACAGATAAAGTACCGCTCGAGCATACGTATACTTGTGTACAGTAAGTAGGTAGGTACTTACTTTTCTGTCAGTTTAATCAACATGTTCTTGAATTTACTATTACCTACTATTATTAAGGATCCTCAGATCCTTTATAGTTTTGTATTGTCGTCCGTCCGTCCGTCCGCGCTATAACTCTTTTTTAAAGTGGCAGATCGTGTTGAAATTTGGTATACGGGTACTTTGAACATTAAGGACGGACGCTAGTGATTTTCAGGAAAGTGGCTCAACAGGAACAAAAGTTATTAATTGTTTTCTTAACATTCAATAATACAAAATTAATGCTTTTTGCTTTTAAAAATATATATATATACTGTTCGATATATTTATTACAGTAAAGTTCCATCAGCATCATCAGGCTCATCTTCTTCGTCGTTAGATAGGTGCTCGTCTTCCTTTATGTTCATATTCATATCTGTATATGTAACCATAAAATTTAAATTTGTAAATCGAATCAAGTATTTTTTTTATAGAATTCGTTGTAATGTAATTACCTGGAGAGTCTTCCACCAAATCACTGACAAGGTCCGGAAGTTGATCTCCTTCAAACCATTTAAAAACGAAATAACCTTCTTCCTCTATCCAACCATGTTCCAGTGGGGTCAATGTGGTAGGTTCTTGTTTGAAAGCAATTTTCCATAAGCTCGAAATATAATGATCTCTTAAGAACTGCTGGTATAGCTCGACTTTGCAAGGTGGAATAGATCTGGCGTCGAAATTTCACACTTTTTTAATGAAATTTTATTCTTTTACGAAGATTATATTCAAATCGTTGTACAAACGATTTCATATTGATCATGATGGCAAGAAAGGAGGATCTTCAAATTTACTTTACTAGGGAGTATTGTGTTTGGCGGGGTATATTCAATAAACCCTAAGCACCCGGAGATGTGTCCTACCTTACAACTTTCAGCCCTAGGGTCTCCCATTACGCTTAAAAAAAGACAGTTGAATTTTCTTTTCTTGACAAGCAAGTATTTGGTATTTCATTCATTCGAAGGTCCCTTCCCGAGGCGTATCGGGCGAGTAGGAAAGGGTTATAAATCTGGGGCGTATAAAATATTCCCCACTATACGAAGATGTCATCCATATTGATCATGATTGTAGAGACAGAGGATCTTCAAATTTATCTTCACTGGGGAGTATTGTGTTTGACTGGGGGGCGGGGTTATTCCATACCCCGCAGACCCCTGGGGATATCTCTCACCTTAAAACTTTCACACCTAAGGACTTTCATTGCTCATTACTCTTAAACCGTTTTTGAGAGTCGAGGAGGAGGACTGTGGTTGGTAGAAATGAATTCCTTTCGTTAAGAGCTTTCATTAAAGTACTATGAAGGATAAAACCAGTTCTCAGTTGAATTTTGATAAGGGAGAAGGGCGGTAGTTGGTAGAAACCAGTTCCCGGTCCCAACTACTGCTTTCCAAAAAGTGTTACGAAGTTATAGTTTGTAAAAACCAATAAAATTCATTTCTATGAAACTTCTCGATTATAATATCCATGAAGGGTAAAGGTCCAATCAAACCGACGCTGGAATGCGGGAACGAGAACGGAAGCGGGACGGACACGGGATATATTTGTACAGCGGGATATGCACGTATGCATACTGTTGCACATGCATATCACGCTGTTCATTTATACAAATATATCCCGCGTCCGCCCCGCTTCCGTTTCCGTTCCCGCATCCGGGCGTCGGTTTGAGTAGAAACATATGTTTACCCCTTCGCCACCCATTTGCAAAAATTTTATTTGGCATCACTACAGGCATGCGTGTCAAAATCTGAGACAAATTCGTTATCGCCTGCAAAAGTTATGCACAGCACATTTTATCTTCAGGAACAGCATCTTGGTAATAAATTCACGAGGAATTCCCCCATAGGACAACAAAATTTGAAGGCCGTCTGGTACACCTTCAAGCTATAGGCTACTGATTTGCAGAATTCCAGGATTTTAGGACAATAATTCCCCTACAAGTAGTTCAAAACGCAAAAGTGGGTGCGGACATACGGGGAGATAAAACGCAAACAATAGCAACTTTTTTTTAATTGTTAAAAAAATGCGCTGAAAAACATATTTATAAAAATCATATTTTAGATGTCACACTAAAATTCACAAAGGAATTGAAATATGTAATAATACACAAGGGGTTCTGTTTAAAAAATGCAACTGTGATATAAATCACTCTGTATAACAATGCAATTTCGGTGACAATTCAACTCATGTATAAAAAATCACATAAGCCGCAGTGTAATTGTCACTTTGACAGCGGCAAAAGTTACCTGCAACTTTTCCAGCGACAAATGCACTAGTGGTTTTTTCACTTATTCATTTTCGAACCAATTATCGTATTATCCGTTCCCATATGACTAGTTTGACGTCTGTCAATAATTGATTAGTTTGGTGAATTTCTTGTTCGTTAAATTGTCCTGCCGAATTACACTCGAGGTGTTTGGGTTGTTGCAATTCAAATCTGTTTCCTTTTAGCAATTGAACTCGAAAAACTGTCAACCTAAAAATGCTCCACCTTCGGTGTCGCATTTTTATTAGTTAACAGTTTTTCTCGTCTAATTGCTAGGCAACAGATTTTCATTACCTTAACAACCCAAATTTACTCGGTAAAATACAAACCTCTTGTGCAATTATAAGTGACAATTCAACTCATGTATAAAAAATCGCATAAGCCGCAGTGCAATTGTCACTTTGACAGCGGCAAAAGTTACCTGCAACTTTTCCAGCGACAAATGCACTAGTGGTTTTTTCACTATTCATTTTCGAACCAATTATCGCATTATCCTTTCCCATATGACTAGTTTGACGTCTGTCAATAATTGATTAGTTGGTGAATTTCTTGTTCGTTAAATTGTCCTGCCGAATTACACTCGAGGTTTGTATTTAAACCGAATAAATTTGGGTTGTGGCAATTCAAATCTGTTTCCTTTTAGCAATTGGACTCGAAAAACTGTCAACCTAAAAATGCTCCACCTGCGGTTAAAAATGCTCCACCTGCGGTGTCGCATTTTTATTAGTTGACAGTTTTTCTCGTCTAATTGCTAGGCAACAGATTTTCATTACCTTAACAACCCAAATTTATTCGGTAAAATACAAACCTCTTGTGCAATTATAAGTGAAAATATTTTTGGGTTGTAGCATTAGGAGTCCTTCAACATGCCACGGCAATGAATTTTAAATATGTCCGTTAATAAACCCACAATCTTCCAGTCACCACACTAATGAGTAATTACCCACCCTGTTTAACTGACAACTACATCTTCTGAAGGATCATGCGACTTCTAATGGTTTAGCAACTAGATTTTATAAAGACAACATCTAGGTATACTCAACTGTATACAAAACTGCTAAATGTTTCATGACATGAATCGTTACGTGCGGTCTTTTTTTCAGAATACTATACCATTAAAAAGTTATAAAGCAATGAGTATTTCTGTAAATCTTCCGCCCCAACAACTCAATTAAATATTTACACGAGTACTATATTTTTCACGGTATCGTGGTTGTTTAAATACGCACTCATTCACAACTCGTCTAACTCTAGAAATGGAACGGGTAAGAATGCACATTCAAAAAAGTTGCGTCATATTTTAAAAATTTCTATTCAAATGGTATGGCATTAATTTTTACGAAGACAATAGTTCCCGAACGAAACTCTTCTCCTACATTGTATGTTTACTCGTATTTTCGTATTCGTTTACTGCGATGCATAGTATCGTCACTAACTTTCGAAACTTCGATTTAGTTATAAATGGTCTGTTTAACTTTATCGGCGGTGTTTCGGGTAACTTTCAATTTGGTAACCACTACGAAAACGTACCTATTCTCTAATTGTATTGCAGCAACTTTAAAAACATTCGTAATGCTGAGACGCCGGGATCTGTTTGCGAAAATCCTGAAAACAATTGAAACGCTTCAGGTGAAGAGAAATACATATGAACCTACACAGAATTATGTTTTTAACGTTAACAAAGTGGTAAGTTATATCTCTCAACATTGATAAGTACACGAATAACTAATTCTGTTTCAGTGGATTATTGTTGCCGCTTCTTACTACGCTGTCGAATTTCTACTGTTCATAGTCGCAATGTACGGGCGAATAACGCATCCCAGTTATTCATGGAGAACACGAATTCTCGACGTAACAATTGTTAATATAACGTACAGCCCAAACTACGAACTTGCATATATCTACCAGTTAGCAAGTGTTTATCTAGTATCCTCCATAGTATGCTTCTCGAACGTCCTAATTGCAGCGATCTTAATCGATATGTCTGTACAGTTTCAACTATTTAATCGTTTCATCACTCAAAAATACGCGAACATATTAACAGAGGATTACGTTGTAAGTATTTGATGGGCATAATCCGATTTACCATTTTAATAATTATTCGTTGCAGCCTTCAATTCGACAGATCGTACAGCGCCATTTGAGTCTCATTGGTATCATGGCTGAAATTGAAAAAGCTTGCTCCATGCCATTAATTATCGACGTGGTTTTGGGCTTACTGATCATATGCTTTTCAGGATATTACGCGTCGGTTGTAAGTTTTTATGTCCAAGATTTATCATGATCTGCTAAAAACGATACCCCTTATTCAATTATTACCTAAGGTCGAGTGCTGGTGGTGGTTAAGGTTTTAATTTTGTTCGCGTTCTTGGTTCTTGATATATTATATTTTGCAGCTACCTCTCTTCGATCTAAAAGCGACCCAATCGTACTTCGAAATAACAGCAACAACAATGTCCATATATGTTGTATCCTACTATGGTACAAAGGTAACGTTGGAGATTGAGACGGTGTCCAACGGTACAAAGGTAACGTTGGAGATTGAGACGGTGTCCAACACCTGCTATCACATTAACTTTATTGGAACCGACCTTCGTTTTCAAAAGTCCTTAATAATCATAATGAGAAGATGTCAGAAACCTGTTGTAATAATTGTTGGAAAATTTACAGCTCTTTCCATAGTTGTGTTTGTTACGGTAAGAGGGCGATCTTAAAAAGTATGCAACACAAATTGATTCATTTTTTTGATAAAGTGCTAAAAAAAATTATGTAACTGTGAAAGAGGTCTTTGCCTGTGCCTGTGTTCAAAACTTAGTCCCCTGCGTGATTTAGTTCCTCTCAAAAAAATTTCGAAAAACTGTCAAATTTTGACGAAAAACCTTATAACAGCGAAATCGTTAAAGTTAGGCGTATAGCATGTTACATAAAACAAGTTGTAAATCAGCATATGCATGATTAAAGCGCATTTTTGGTAATGCAGGTCAGTATTTTATTAGCGAAGTTTAAAATTATCGCGAGCTGCGTTAAATAATTAATTTTATTTAATTTCAATTGACGGTACGTCTTCATTTTGTAAAACAAATCACAAAGTAAATTAAGATATCTACCTAATTTATCCGAAACCCATATCGAAATTATTTTCTTCAATTATCGATCTCACAAGTAATCTAACTCAAAATAGACTAGTGCCTGCACATCTACACTATAGCAGAAAGCTTTTAGTGAAAATTTGAAGTCTCTAGCTATTGTAGTTGTGGAGATCTAACGCGGACAGCCGGCCTGCCAGCAATGACGAATATAATAGCGTATTTTTTTCAAAAATGCGCTAAAAATTTGTCCAAGTACTCAAATCTTTAATAAGATAAGAGGTATTCCATTAAAAAAAAACGCAAGTTTGATACGCAACTCGATTACAGCACGCCCCTGGCGATCAAAAATATTTTAGAAATATGGCGACGGTAAATGTGTACAATTTTTTTTCTGGGACTTTTTTGGGCATCTTTTATAGTAAACGAATTATGTAATATTAATGTAAAATAACTTAGAATTCATTCCTTGTCTGTACGCTTTTCAATAAAGGCGATAGTTTGTATAATTTCGCGTTTTTAAAAACGAGAATCGTTTCGGTGAATCTATAAAGTGGCGCAGTGGGTAGGATTGTGTGGGAGTGATTTTTGAACTGTCCATCGAGTGACCAAATTTCGCTATCAGGGATTTCAAGCCCATAAACACAATCTGAAAAGGACCAACCACCTTAAGGGAATCGATCCATTCATCTTTCATCGACTACAAGCATCTAAGACAAGTAATCGGGAAGGAAACTGAAACCACGAAAACGTAAGTGCCATTTCCTTTCGCCCTTACTAACCCTCTGCTTAAGCTACTTAGTTAGGATAGGTAGGCGTTTTAATGATTACGCAAGGAATATTTAGAGCTTTAACGATAAGATAAAATTAATTGGAGTTATTATTATTGTGTATTTTTACCATGATATTTAACTTACACATGTAGTGGTCGAATTCATCCAGGATCAAAATCTTTGGTTTATAACAAATTTCTATTTTTTTTAAGGATCACCGAGTGTAATTATTACTCACTGCTGTTTAACAAAATGATTAATATACATATGTTGATACTTTACGGAGATATCTAAATCGTTTAATGTATTATCCATTATTCGACATGAGCGAAAAGAGTAGATTTCATTCTCTAATACTCACCTTTTAAATGTTTTATTAGACTGATTTGTATCTTCCAATTCCAATTCCTGGAAACGTCTCTTAATATGAATATGGCTATTTCTGAGGTTCAGTACCTTTCATTATAAACAACTTACCTTTTAGATGCCAACTAGAAAAATTATACTGCCAATCAAGCGTAAGACGTGCTCTGTACAAAAAGAATACTTAATGCAAGGCAATGTATAGTTATCCCTTTAGTCGATCTGCCGTTTTCAGTTCAGATGCTACAAAATGAACACTATGCGAAATCAAATACGCAAAAATTGCATTTTCTTTCCGAAATATCTACTCAGATGCTTGGGCATCAATTTTTACGAAAACGAGTCTGTTTCTTATAAAATTTATTCCTTTATAGCTATTATTTTAATTGTTTCCTATCCGTGGAATTCCCTTCACTCGATTTACCACCATTTGGACAACTTCGACCTGATGATAAATGGATGTTTTAATATGTTTGGTGCTGTTTCAGGTGGAAATTTATTTTTGTTTTCGTAACTTCTCACTCGTTTCCTTTTAGCCACTTTTAAAGCGTTAACTATGTTGTACCATAGGGGTATATTTCGAAAGGTATTGAGAACGATTGCGGATGCTCAAGAAGAACAGAATGTGTACAGGACAACTCAAGGATATATCTACAGATTAAATAAAATAGTAAGTGTGTAATTGATGAGAAAAGTAAGTTTTAATTTATCGGTTATTTTTGGCCAATCAATGGTGGTAGATCCCTTCAATGTTACTTAAAATAATGACATTGTCAATGATGTAGATACATACATTTTTCTAGTCAAGAACATGTAATCGTTTCAGGTCATTTGTGGATCTCTTTGCTACTACCTTTTTCTTGGACTCCTCTACATGATATCATTGTACGGAAGATTAACTTTACCATGCGAAGAATGGAGAACACCGATTTTAGATGTCACCCTGCTGAATATAACGTACAGCCCCAACTATGAGGTTGCTTACGTTTACGAAGTGCTGTCGGTATACTTAGTATCCTCAATTGTTTGTTTTTCAAACGTACTAATTACCACAATTTTGATTGATATGACTGTACAGTTCAAGTTATTTCGAAATTGCATACGAAACAATTTTAAATCTTTGGTAAGTTATGTTTACGAGTGATTGCCATTAGGACGTACCAAGCGAGCACTTTTTCTTTAAAAACTGATATTTTGGAGAAAATTGACGTATCATTATGTTACAGAATGACCAAAATAAAAGTTGGACCATTTTACAAAGATTTCTTAAGGACATCGTCGAACGCCATTTATCTCTAATCGACCTTATGCAACAAATCGAAATGGCTTGCTCAAAACTTGTACTCATTGATGTCCTGGCAAATCTATTGATTATCTGTTTCTCGTGTTACTACGCCTCTGTGGTAATCCACTTTCGTTTGTATATTTAAAGAGGTAGCCCCAAACGTCTCATTTTAGCTCCCATTATTTGACAGTAAAGCATTTCAAGCGTATTTTGAAGTTGTGGTTGTCTCGCTGTCTCAATTTTCCATGTCGTATTTTGGGACACAACTGAGCGTTGCATCACAGTCAATTGCTGATACTTGCTATGAGTTGGATTTTATTGGAACCGACATCCGATTTCAGAAAGGTTTGCTGATAGTGATGCGAAGATCTGTGAAGCCGCTGTATATTACCGTTGGAGGATTTTCGATGCTTTCCATCACTGTTTTCGTTATGGTGAGTTGTGGTGTATTGAGGAACTGTACTTATGTCTTGTTTTTTAGATAATGAAGAACTCGTATTCGTTTCTCATGGTGCTACGTAGTACTAACAACCTCGCTTAAGGTGACCATGGAATAGAGGACTTAATTATTTAGCTTGTCACTGATTGGTGTCCTTACGTAGTGAAGTGGCATGACACCATCAGCGACTAATACGCAAATATATAGTTATAATCACTAAGTCCCAAGAAGTAAGTGGATAGCTCCGCCTGCTCGTCTTTGTACCCATCACAATTATGTTCAAGTTCCTTCATAAATCTTAATAGATACCTGCTGAGTTAACATAGGCTTTAGTACTTTAGTAGAACAAATCTATTGTATAATCTTCAACTACAATTTGAAATTAATGTATACTTAATTTTATTAATAACACGTGTATTTTAGTGTAATAGATTCATTAAAGGCTATGTGATGTGTTTGTTATCTTGGAGAATGGAGGTAGTCTTGAAAGTCCTCCTGATCCAACTTAACATGTTAAAGTAATGTCAATAATATAAGTGTAAAGAGAAATAACGTTTCCTGACCTAAAGTATGTGTTTTTGTGAATCCACCATTTTATCCCCAAAAAACCTTAGTGTGGTGTTAACAACCACGACAAGCACAAATGACTCTCTAGTAACACAAAGTTTGTGCCATATTTGTGTAATTAATCACTTATCAACTTATCAACCGTTGAAATATCTAAAATATTCAAAATTTAAGATGACACGCCTTCACCATTACAGCACCATAACTGATTCGGAATAGAAGACGGCGAGGAATGAAAGGAATTTACATCTAATAGAGTTCCCCAAGAAAAGAAGATGGTCATAGCCAACACTTGGTTCATAAAAGGAAATTTTACACTTGGAAATCCCATGGAGACAGATATCGAAAGCAGATTGATTTCATCATGATTGAAGAGACGGAAAATTTTTTATACTAATGTTTATTCATCGAATGTAAAAAGAGTATTTATATTTTACTACAGTCGCCATAGAGACGCTTGAATAAATCGAAACTCAAAACACCTTGTGGTACCAAATCGGTAAAACAGCTCTCAACTACCTCCCAAGACAAATTTGGCGTGACACTAGCCCAGCCACGTCTCAAATCACTCAAATCGATATAACCTTTACCTAAAAGTCATGTATTATGGAGTAGGTAAGTTCTGGGGCGAGTGATTACCTTCAATGTCAAAACAGCGAAATATTACCACAGCATAAGATTGCTCCAAGTTGATTAACTTTTTCTGTATTAGTTCATCGGCTTCTCGTTGAGTTATAAAGTTTCTCCCTCGAAAGACGCAAAACATTTCAGCCTCGCTTGGTAGGGTACTCAAAAAAAGGGTATGGTAAATTTTGTATTCGTTTTCGTTTAAGTACGCTTTCTTGCAGCCCAGTAATTGTTCAAAATACTTCTTTTTTATATTTGTCATTATAGACAATGGCAAAATCTGTAGTTACTAACGGTCTCCATAGCAATGGTCTTTACTTTTACAATGTTACTATTAGCACATATATACACATATATCTGTGCTATTAGGCTGTAATCAATAATGGAAGAAGATAGGTCAGCGTACTAGAACTGACGACCACCTTTGCAAATACCAAGGTTTCTAGATTTTATTGCTCTTATTATCCTTTGATCTACCTAGTGCCCTAAACTTCTTGTGCATAGTAGTTTATGCAGCAAATGAGGTGCAGTACAGTACAAGGGAAGATGGGCTAGATCTAACTAGATATAAAAGGAAAGAGTAAAAAACATTCTATTTTTCAACGTAAGACCTTTTAACATTAACAAAACGTTTACCTAATAACGTCATGCTTTATAAAAATTTTTTGTGGGAATTCTGCAAAGTATGACTCCATATAGTTTTCAAAGACTTCCAAACCGTTGAGTGAAGCCCCTAATCCTTCATTCACCAGTAAAACATTAATAGCCATAAGGCCTCAGATCTTCGATTTTACAGCTTTCTAGAACTCCATTAATATCTCTCAGGACCCCTTATGTCTATAAAGTTTAAAAATGCCTTCTTTCTTAACATTGGAAAACTTTCCACCAAGTTGCACATAGAACCTAAAATAGACCAGTTAGTGCTTGAAAGAGTGGTGCACATAAAGCTCTAGAAAGTGCGTATATAATCATAATAAGAATCTAAATCGATCTAAATGCTCTGATAATAATAATAATAACGTATATTGACCTCATAAACACAAATACACTATGATCTTTTAGATACTGCAGCGCAGGAATTATTTATCATGAGAAAACTTTAACTGATAAGCGCCTAGAGCGTTCTCAAGGAGTCTAAAAGACTACGGCAGTAACCTGGGAAGACCTAAGGTTGTTTGGAAGGAGGAATGCTCTGAAACAGCCTTATAGAGCTCTGTAAAGCTACCATAAAGCTTTTAAAGGCCTCTTAGGGCTCCTCTACAACGTTTAGGTTACCTATTTCCAGCGCATACGGTCTTACAATAGCCTAGAACTCTCTAGCGTACTTTTAAAGCTCTAGAAGAGACCTAATTTCTGTCTAAATGCCATCGAAAAGTGATGTAGTAGTCTTAAAACTGCGTTTTCCAGGGCTTAGATGTCCAGGAAGGAGGAAGCACTGAAACTCCTAGAGTGCCTTCAATTACTTTTAACTTGTTCACAAGGCTTTCCAGAGTCACTTAAATGCTTCCAGAAAAACCTTTCAAATATTCGCGCTTAGAAGACTTGTCCATGTGCTTGTTAACGCATTTTTAAACAAAGTGAAAGGCTATAGAATCCATAAAAAATATACAACTGCTATGAAAAGCGCATCGGTGGCCACCGCATGTATGTAAATAGTTGTAGAAAATCTCTAAACAGTTCATAGGAAAGATTTAAAAGAAGGATTATGCGACATTCCTTTAGCCATGGACTATGTTTTTCTTTTATCATAGTCCATGGCTACTTAGACTAAAAACTCGTGAAAACAGAATCTTTATAATTAATTTTTTCGCGTACAAGAAGAGGTAGAATAATCGTTTCACATGATTTAGATGCAGAATTTGTATCTCTATAACTTTTATTTGAAGTATTTTTGCGTAAAATGATTAGGAAACGTTTGCGCAAAGAAAAAGTAATTTGCCAGTTTAAACGCCCATGTTCCACTTTTCGATTTACACCCTGTACAACTTCGGCAAACAGTTCAAAACAGCGGTTATTGAGACACAAACATCGATAGCCCGAATGTTGGTGTGTGAGCCACTGTATAAAAACAAATATGTGATGTGTCAATTTGTAGAGGTTAAAACGAAATCTTTAATATTTTGGAAAGTATTTTAAAACGTAGTCATTAAAAAATTTCCAAAATGACGGGCATGCAAGAAGTTCCTACAGACGAACTGTTATCCTTTCAAGATTTTCCCGAAATGCCAAATCCGAGCACGTACCAAAATGTAACCACCGCCTCAATACAAATAACTGACGATATTCCCGAAAAGGAAAGTTCTAGATCATTGGAAGCGTTACAGAGAAAGGAAGACACGATATCTTTAGAAGGTGGCAGAGGTAACTTCCAACAATACGCATAACTGTGTACACATCCTTCATTGTAGATGGGACTTCGAAAGCGTTCTGGACCTTAAACTATTACCAACAATTCTTCGATGTAGACACTTCGGAAGTGGTGGAGCGACTATGGTCTTCAGTTATTCCAAAAGGAAATAAGTTAATGAGTAACCAGATAAAGCTTAAACCGGACTTGTATGGTCCATTTTGGATTTCGATGACGCTAATATTTACAATTGCAATAAGTGGTAATGTGGCCAGTTATCTGCAGCATGCAAACGAACAGTACCATTGGAAGTACAACTTTCACTTAGTATCCTATGCCAGTACAGCAATTGTGATTTATGTTAGCATTATTCCTTTAGTGCTGTGGGGGCTATTAAAGTGGACCATCGAGTCATCAGAATTAGAACAACTTGTTGAAGAAACTATAAGCACACCACTAGAATTGGCATGTGTTTACGGATATTCGTTATTTATATACATTCCGGTGTCAATACTTTGTTCCATTCAGATAATGTGGCTGCAATGGATTTTGGTTTTAATTGCAACCGTTTTATCTGGAGCTGTTCTAGTCTTCACTTTGTATCCTGCTTTGCAATTATCAAAGCGAAAGTTTATTTTAATGGCCTACATTGTGTGTTGCCATTTATTGTTAGCAATTGGTTTTAAGGTGTTCTTTTTCCACATGCCAGATTCTACCTTTAGTGCAGTTACACATCCACCGCTAATTCCAGTACACCAAGCAGTATCTCAGCATCCTAATGTTACAATTGATAAAGATATTAAAGGTGTGAAATTGTAAGTTAGTGTTCAAATCTGTATTCAATAATTATGTATTAAAGTATCTCTAAATGTGTTACCTATCTACAACTTAAATTTTGAGTTTTCATCATTTTTTCATAAGCAGTTTTGGCTTATGTACGATTGTATGAAGACACTTGGTGTGTAAAGGTCCTTTCATCACACTTGTGCATGACATTGTGCAAAATCAGGGAATTGCAAATACAATTTATTACAGGAATTACAAGTATTGATACAATAAACTTATGCAGACTAATTCACCATTATACCAAAACAACCAGCTCCTTGGTGTAATTTTTTGTAATAAAACTCCCCTTTTTTGTTATGGCAATTTAATAAAGCTTTCTCATATAATTAACAATGACTATAATGCTAACATTTTATATCTGGTTGTTTACGTGATATGATTTGTCCACAATGAGTATGTCTAAAATAATTCCAGATAGTCCCTTAAAAATACCTTCCTATCAGTGTAATATCACTTATACAACTTTGTAGAGCAATAAATAATACAACACAGACTTAAATTGATCAAACATTTTAAAAGAACAGTTTTAATCGTTTAGAAAATACTTATAATCTAGCAATAATGCCGTTATAAAATATAGTATTTTTACATAGTACAAGAGTGGCCTAGTCAGGAACTCGAAACAACACCACCATATCTTCTTTATGTTCCACTTTTATCTCGCCAATAGCTGCGGCAGCTTTAGATACTGCTGTGCTTATCTAAAATTGAAATGTACAATATATTTCTCTGCACATACCACGAGAATGACTCACCAAGTTTAAATCATCTGCACTAATCGATTCAGAACATATGACCTTTTCTGGAATCGGCACATCTTGTAAAACACAAAGCTTATGTCTAACTGGTAACTTATTACTAGCGCAAGCCTGCTGTAACTTGGAGGAATATTGTCGCATCCGTTCCACATATTCGTGTTGCTGTAAATTGTGTGAATCCAAAGCGGCTACGTCTATAACATTTCTGAAACATACAAATGTTACACTACAATAAATTAATAAAGGTCACTCACGTTGCCGTCTCCTGTAAAATACGATTCAATGCCGATTGCTCATCAGTCTTTTTAGGTAAAGTATTCGAATTATTTAAGAAATCTTCACTGGAAGTAAACATTTAAGGCAGGATCAAGAGACTAACAATAAATACCTGTTATATTGAGGTATGTTCGCACTATTGGAGACCGGATCAACAAGTAAATGAGTCCTTTCATTCGGTTCGCCCCTCTAGAAGGAAAAAATGTGAGAAAACCCGAAATTTATGATAAAGCAATGTACTTGTTGTGCACTGTCCTCTTTGCAAAAAAAACTATAACAACACCCCATTTTTTACGCTTAAATTTTTACAGCATAATACGACACTAACTACAATTATCTACTGTAAAATTATCACTTTTGTTAAATAATTGGTATTCAAATTATCTACATAATATTTTCTGAACTTGAGAATTGACATAAAAATGACAAACAATGCGTCACATGGTATATATTATCTGAACTGGAGGTGGATAACATGACGCGCTTTGTTTACAGAGTGCGCCAAAAAATTAGTAGTTTTAAATTCTCATTATTGAATTAACCGAATTTGTTTTTTGCTTAACATAATATTATTCCAAAATATACGTTCTAATTAACAGCACGCTTCTTATTTTCTCTGAGGTACCAAGAGGTTATTGGCCCAGTGTAAAGTAAAGAAATTTTTTTGGAAGTTTTGGAAACGTCTTTACGGTATTTTTTCAACGAATCCTTTAAGCGCTGGTGCTGGAGATGAGAGCAAGTACTACTCAAGGTACTGGGAGGTTTGGATCACCTGCGATACAGGATAAAGTGTCTAGTTGGTCGCTGGGTGTCCTGGAACCTCGCTGTACAGATGTAATTGGAGCACGAAGATCTTTGGGGGTGGCAGATGAAACACTTCCTACAGTAGATCCCAATATGAGAAGAACTCAAAGGCCAAGGTAGCGATACTGTTAAATCCTATTGACTATGTCCACCTTTTGCACGTGATACGTTGTCTAAGGTGGAACAAGCTTTCGATGACTCAGCTTCTGAACAAAAAAGGTCTCGTGTATATGCTCGTCATCATAAAGCTGATGCTTGCAAACTCTTTGGACCACTAGGTGAATAAGATCGTGTCTTTCATCTTTGTAATTAATGGGAATCTGTGTTGATGTAATTGAAGATCCTACAGTAACGGTACCCCAAGGCAAGGAAAAATTTGCTATTCGTCTTTCTTTATAATTTTTTACTCACTCACCTTTGTTTGTAAGATAAAAATAATACCTTTACCATGTGTTTCATTATTTGGAAGATTTTAAAAAATCAAAAAGGTAAGTACAGTTCAGGCTAAAGTAGAAACGTAATCTCTCACATTGTTAGGAGAAAATATTTGTTTGGTCCCCTTTACATTCAGTTGTTTTATACTAATTTACTATCTAGGGGGTCGAATATTTGCGTACCTATATACGAAATTTTTCTTCACACTTTTTTAAACAATTATATCAATTCTTGATTTCCCCAAATGTAATTTTAAAAATATATTTAAGAGTTCATAACATAAATTACTCCCGTATAATCGATTACTAACTATTCAACAACTAATATAATTTCCAGGCCATTACGACATTTTTGTTCTATGTGTATTGTTTTCTTTATTTTACAAATCTTCGGAATGTCCGAATTTTTTGATTACTCCATTTCTTAAAAACTTTTCAAATTCTTCAATTTTTTCAGATTGTTTATGATGCAGAGGTTCTTCAGAGATTTTGGTTTGTTCGCATGTTTAATTTCTTTAGATTCTTTATGGCATCCTTCAAATTTTTTGAGTGCTTGGTTTTTCTTCTAGTCTTTTAGAGTGTACGTGTTCTTTGAATTCTTAACGCTTTTCAGATTGTTTCGAATCCCAGAGTTCTCTTCAATTTTTTCTTAAATCTACAGGTTCCTTAGATTCTTTCGTTTCCTCGAGTCTTATAAACTTCTTTGATCTTTCAATTCTTTCTCACTTTTTTTTGGACTGTTCGAATACACTTCAACACTGTAAACGTTCTTAGAATTCTTCTGGTGACACCGTTTCATTGAATTCCGTTGTTTCTCGAGACGAAAAAATTTCAAATTTCAAATTCAATTCATTTTACTTTTGCAAGCTCAATAGCCAGAATAAGTAGTTACAGTGCTTCCAGTTAAAATTCAAATTCAATTCAGTTTGCTTAGTTTTACAAATTCACACTTTTTGACATTCTCGATGAAGGCGCTGCTACTCGCGCTATATAAAGCCCGCTTGACATGGAGCAATAAAAATTGCAATTGCATGCAAGTTGCAAGAAAAATTGCGAAAGGCATGCGCAGTTCAAAGCCAGCTGATCAATTGCTGCAAGAGACTTGCGTGCAATTTTTATAGGACCGGTGCTATTTTTCTTGCATTAATCGCGCAATTCTAGGGATAAATCTAGTTGTTTTTGTGTCACCAACCTAGTAAAATACAGGGGCGGCAACTATGATGCTGAGAGCCGCACTCATTACTTGTTTTTATTAATCTGATTTATTCTTGTAATTTTCATGTTTCTTCAAGCAATCAAAATTCAATTTTTATTTAAGGTTAGCAGATTTGATGACAAGTCCATATTTTCTTCTGTTGGCAGACATGTGGCAATTGAAATAGAATTGCACCATGTCAAATACCATGCAATGCTTATTGCATGCAAGGATTTGACCTTGCAATTTCTTTCTGCAAGTTCTTGCGCGTTGTATTGCTCCATGTCAAGCGGCCTAAGAAGAAATATCGATTATAGTGTTCTTGGGTGACAAGTTGCCTATGGTTCAGTGGAATTACTTTCAATACAATACGCTCCCTCCATATATCTAGTTCTTGCATGAAAAAACGAATATAATTTTAAATATATTAGATTCCGTCTTAAGAATGCCCATATTTCTTGGTTCGGTTGGCTAAATTTAGGGCAAAGGTGCTAAATTTAAAGTCGAATCGGAAAATAAAACCATTTACTCTTTCAGTATACATCGCAAAGTTGACAATTTCCTATTATCCACTGACATTTTAAACTGCCTTTAAGTTTAATTCAAACTCGTTTGTTAAGTTATCTATAAAATTCATTGTTTCTTATAAAGTCCGTCGTCAACGGCAACGTCCTTTGTACATTACACTACCCTATACGCTGCTTAATTTTTCATACCTAATGTTGTTGATTCTATTACCATGGTTGCTACCTACGCCAGCCTTGAGAAACATTTTTCCCTCATGTTAATAAATAATAAAAGATGAATTCGGATAGATATGCTTCACGGCCGGTAGTGTTATAAATTCTTGAAGATAACACGGTGGAAACTATTGGTGGGATACACTGTTTTAATCGATAACAAAAAATGCTCTAATAATAAACTCGAGAACGCAAAAAGTGATCACACTCATTTTCCTATGATAGGTTATTTATGTTTTCTTGTTTATCGTTTGTAGGTGAGAGGGCCCAAAGTTACAATCGATAAATAATCAGCACTCTTAAAGATACGGGAAATACACGCTTAGCTGTTTTCAATCTAAGGTATAATCTGTTCTGAACTATCGGTATTCCAATCTCTATAAACGATAGTGAAACAAAAGTCGAACCAACCCAACTGGAGATTAATGTTTCAATACTAGCACTGAATAAGTAATAATTACTTATTCAATGATACTACGTAGTACTGTACATTTTTTATCGGAGAGATTTTATGGAACAGAAATTAGTATCCTGGCCGATACAATACTTGTACACCTAAACTGCGAGTTGCACATAACAAGTTGTAATGGCCTTCCGACTGAATCCACCTACCACCCCGTGAATTAATCTTGTGGTTGTAATTTTTGGACAGGGTTTAAATACCCCTAGAAGGAAAACCCGTGTAATCTTACTAACTGTAGGCATCTATAATCAGTTCGTGTTCAACCATAAGGAATCAAGATTAATGTGGTTATTAAAATATTTGGTTGTAATAAATGACATCTTCAACTGTGTTGTGGCGTTTGTAAGGATAATTCAGATAGTGAAACATAAAGGAATCGATCACTATTAAGCAGAAATGTCAGATGTGACAAATATTGTAATTCATTTCTTCTGTCATTTAAAATTACTGCAACACCACCTTTCCATGTAGCTCTTCATTCATAATCAGTTCACCTAAATCACCAATCATTCCCATATACTCCGATTTACCAGTCGTGACATTGAGAATCTTGCGGATGTGTGCTAAAGATAGGTAATATAGCAGGAATACGTTTATTGGCCACCTACGTTGAGGTTCCAAATTGTTTGCGACTTTAATTCTCTTAGGGGGCTCCATTGCTTGAGGGTTAATCACGACAGGATCCCTATGAGCATACCTTTGCGATGTCAGGGGAATGTCCCAGTCGTCCGGTAGTCTAAACATGTTTTTCTTCCGAAGTTCCTCTTTGTACGCATTATCCTTCTCTGAAAAGTCCAAGTAATACCCACCCATTTCCATTTCTTCTTACCCAAATCGCAATAGTCAATTTGGTAAACTGTCCTCCCGTTATAAATAAACGTCTTAGTCATAACTTCGTTATTAATCGGTTCCTTAAAATGCATTCGTGCAAGCTTTGGGTGATTTTCTTCGTGCTGGAATTGAAAGTAATTACTTAAGTTTGAGAGGTTCCTAAAGTACCAAGTGTAGATAGGTGTCGGCGTCTACAACCGGCGGTTCGGGGGATGTTGGATCGCTGCTGAGCTGCAAGTAATTCTTGAAGGATTCTCCCAGGGGATCACTAAACTCTTGCGTCCCCTTCACAACATCTCTGTGAAGTGGTAGCTGTGAAACCTTGTTTAATGTTATGCTTACGTTTTCACCCGTTTCGGGTAGAAATCTCTTCTATACGTAGTTAAAAAGGGGTCCATAGCAAATTAATCAGAATTTGTCAAAATAATTTAGTGAAAGTACATAATTGGTTACTAGATTTATCTTATGTAAGATCACAGATATACACATACAGTATAACCTTCCTTTTTTACAAAAAATCGACTACAACAAAATTTCTCGGGAAAACACTTTTTCTTATTAATTTTGGTGCGTAGAATCGAAAACGATTCGTACTTTTTTGATTAGACAATCAAAAGTTATGGACTAAAAACCAATTTCGAAAGAAAATTTAAAGGGCTGTAACTTTTGATCTAGTAGCCCAATCTTGGAACTGTCTGAAATTATGGAATCTACAGCCCATATTCTATAAGAAAATGTTTTTTCCGGTCGATCTGAGACAATTTTTTTCTTCCGGCCTCAAAAAAAGGCAGTGTATAACCTTCCTTTTTTACAAAAAATCGACTACACCAAAATTTCTCGGGAAAACACTTTTTCTTATTAATTTCGGGGCGTAGAATCCAAAACAATTCGTACTTTTCCGATTAGACTTCTCAACCAAAAGTTATACACTAGAAACCAAATTCGAAAGAAAATTCAAAGGGCTGTAAC